CAAGAAAAATCAAATAACATTAAACAACAATAATATTAATAAAAACAAACCTGTCACAATCATTCTTTTCAAATTACAGTTGCAACATAAGACAAACTAAAACAGGATAAAAAGAGTTTTCCCACCATCCTCCTCCTTCCTCCTCCTCCTCTCATGCAGTACAAACTGTCTTCTTCAGCACAAAGTTCAGCTTTTTGTCTCTGAACTCTGGCTGTATGTCTGTGGTTGTAGTCGTTAGAGTTAAAATTGTATGGCTTTAGGGCATGGTTCAGGTTTTATCAAGAGGTGGCTGGACCCTCGTCTGAGTCCGGCCTCCCTCTGCCTCCCGCAGCAGGGTTATTGTTGTTGGAGGCAGGGTAGTAGTCCTCAGGGGGCGGGGCTTGTGGCCCTGGGGCGGTGGGAGCCGGCCTAGTCCGGAAGGCAGACAGTCCGATTGGCAGAGCAAGGGGCAGCGAGGCAGAGCCAAACTGTGAAGCCTCCATGGAAGACACCGCCCCCAGGTGGTGCAGCCCTAGGGACACGCCCACATCCATGCTGTCACTCATCTGGGGCGAGGATCCCTGTTGACCACCCCCTCCACCAATGCCCGTCTGTCCACCCTGCCGCAGACCACGCCCCCCATTTCCATGGTGGGAGTAAGTTGGGTGAGGGTGGTGGGGTGGATCCAGGAAGTGGCGCTGGTGTTGCTGGGAGGCAGCTGGCTTGTGGAGCAGCAACTGAGTGTATGCTGGGTCCTGACACCCACCGCCACCATCACTGCCTGGCCACATCCTCATCTGCTGCTGGGAGGGGGCCTTGGCGGGGGAAGAGGTAAGCACACAGATGAGATACATTCAGAGTCCAGTTTTACTGACAGCTCTGATGGAGGAAATTTAAAGAACTCAAATGTTGTCTCTAAGCTTTGCAGACTGCTCAGAAGGGCGATAATAAGGTTGTTGGCAGTGCTCCTGATTGTGACTTATAAGGCAGATTGCTTACTACAATTTCACTGTCAAGATTAGATTTGTATTAAATGGGACACAAATCCAAATTGAATAAAAAAAGAAATTGCTGTAACAATCCAGTTTTTGTTTCTATTTCACCTCAAATTTTTGGATACTAAAGTATTCATATAAGGGTTTTCAATATACTATTATAATAACTATGTACATAAACATGTAATTTTGGTTTATGATTTTTATAGACTCAGCATAAACCCAGCAATAAACGTGCATGTTCCAAAGCCATGTTGGAAAATTGGGTAGGTTGTGGGGCACAGCAAATGGGTGGTCAAAAACAGACTGCTAACTGTGGAGGTAACCCAGAGGATAATGTTGGGCATCTTCTACATTAACAGCATTTTCAACACTTCCCATACAGATATTAAAACAAACAATGATTTGCCTCTCACTGGTAATGTCTCTCAGTGTCCTGGATTACCTTATTCGTCTGTGACACAGACATGAGTGAAACACACCACTGCACTGGGTGACATGTTTTCTCATTCCATAACATCAGGTCCTGTTATTTGTTAAAAATATTCAGAGACTTTTGGTGAAACATTTAAAAAAAATATGCAGGTCATGTTGTCACGATACTGGAATTTCTAACTTTGATATAATACCTCAAAAAATATCAACCCCTGGTACCATTTTCGATACAATGTGGAAAAATTAAGCTGAACGAGAGGATAAAATTTGACATTTTATTTAAAAGATAATAAGTCAAGGATATAAAATGTCAACAAGGTACAACTTTTCTTTTCTTGGCTAGGAGCAGAGAACAGCAGAATGACTGTAGTAGATATTACAACAGCCACATTTCCACCAGAAGGTCCCAGGTACTTTTTATTCACAGGAACTAAAGCCCAAGAACTGTTCCTGGGGTAAAAGTCCTCAAGCCCATTGTAATGTGCATTTCCACAGCAGGTTTGAAACCCAGGAAAGATTAAACAAATTATCCTGCTGATGTAAAGGCACAACAGCTGGCAACAAGGTTGTAAGAATGCCACATGGTAAATGCTCACTGTAGAAACATAGCAGCAGTGGAAGACAGACTCCAGGCAAAACTGAAATGATTGCATTTCTGTAAGTTTACGCTTGTTTAACAGGTGCATCTTTTGTTACTTGCAGAGGTTTTATTGCACGTACAGTAACAAGCAAAAGGATTGTTAACTCCGATTAATGCTCCACTTCAGCCTATGTCATGCTCTCCTCTGCAGCCTCTGCCTGCTGCATCCTGTGTGTGGGGAGGTGCTGAGCCCTCAGGTCAAACACCAGGAGAAGCTGTTATTCAAACACCACTACCATAGTTTCAAATCCACTAATCTCACTCACTGGTCTTTCTGTGTAGGCCTACTGATAAAATGGTCCTTACAAACTGAAAACCTAAGGGACTGGGAGTCAGTTGCATCAGTGTGCCCAAATCAGTTTCACACTGGCACACTATGATTTTTACTTGCATACATGAGTGAAATGCTCGCACTTTAGAGCCCTGTATTTCAGAATCAGAATCAGCTTTACTGGTGAGGTGTGTCAAAAACACGAGGAATTGGACTCCGGTACAGTGACTCTCAGTAAAGTAAAGTAAAGTAACGAGTAGACAAGTAAACAACATAAGACTGAGTGAACAAAAAAGAACATACAATAGAAAAATAAAAACAAAGTACTTATAAATATAGAAATACTGTATATATACATACAGTTTAGATGGAGGTTTTAGATTGATATATACAAGGTATTGCACTGAGGGTTGTCGTTGTATGATACAGTCATGGGTTAAGTGTTCATCAGAGTGGTGGCCCAAGGGAAGAAACTCTACTTGTGTCTGGTTGATTTGGCGTACAGTGACCTGTAGCACTGTCATTCCGCACTGCAGGCGGAATTGATAGTTCTTGGACCTTCAGAAAGTAACAACAATGGAGGTCTGTGGCACAAACCAATAAGCTAATCCAGGGCTGTCAGTTTGACAGACATTAACAGTGAGTAGAGGCAAATGTTGGTTTTAGTTTTTGTATGGGAAGTGATGAAAATACTATTAGTATAGAAACTGTCTGGCCTTATCCTAACTTATCCTTATGCCAACTAGTAGATAACAGCGCTAACAATGGAGCTAACTATACTGTAGATATTGTAGTCAGCAAAAAGCAGAGATGTTCACAAGTCATCTTTTGCAAGGCCAAGTCAAGTCTCAGGTCTTCATGGTGCAAGTCCAAATAAAGCCTCAAATCTCTGGTCACAAGTCTAAGTCAAGTCTCAGGTCTTCAAGGTGCAAGTCCAAATAAAGCCTCAAGTCTCTGGTCACAAGTACAAGTCAAGTCTCAAATCCCTTGTGGCTGCATTGAGCACCCTATCATCTGCTGTATGCCATCCAGATTGTGCAAAATACTGCACTGCTGTATCTAAGGAATTCAAAGAATATGCTGCATTGATTAGTTGTTAGGTGTATGGTATATGGCACATATAAAATTTGACAACTCGGGGTAACAGGAAAATATGAAAATATTGCTAATGCTATTAGCCATGCAGTTACAGCTGTAACAGTTAAGAGTACAACCATGATGTATAATTACATTGGGTCTCCAATTACTGTAATGATCTCTTATAATCTAGTGTAAATTAACGCGCCACTCTAGCCTCTCAAACCCAATGTGATGGTAACCTAATAAGCCTGTAACATTACATGGCCAACAGTAAACCTGTAACCTGCCTGTAACCCATGTTAATAATTAACGTTAGTTTAACATTAGCCAACAGATGGTGGCAGCAGAATGTGAATGATTATCCAGCCATTTCTCTAGTCATGGCAAAGCCAACACTCTGCGAACAAATGTGGCAAGGAAACAGACACTCAGTCATCTTTTCAAAACATTTGAAAGAACACCAGTCTAATAAGTTATTGAACCATTACACAAATCTGGTAACAAGTCAACATTGGCTAGCTCATTGGCTAGCAAAACATGTTTGCTAACAGTCCTTAGCAAACATGTTAATGTGTTGTCTTTCACATTACCCGACTGACTGACTAACCTATCTAGGTGCACTTTGAGGTGCCTGATAAAAGGTATGTTCGCCATGGCCACGATGTTGCTGCAGCTTAGTGTGGCAGGGCATGCCGTGCATGGGTAAAATTCACTTCACTTCGTCAGATCTTTACCTAATGTTAAATGTGCTAAAAAAATACAAAGTCAAATAAAAATTGTTTACGAGTCCCAGATGTCAAGTCTCAAGTCACTGTGTGTGCGACTTGATGTTGCAAATACTAAGCACAAATACCCACCTCACTCAATTATGAAGAACACCAGTTACTTGAACATTTTTCTTCTGAAAAACAAATAATTTTTAAAGCTTGTGTGTACCTGAGGGCTTGTCATTTCATAGTCTGAATGTGTAACAGCAGAGTTGTAGTAGCGGTTACTGTAGCGGTAGTTCCGGTTGTCATTGGAAGAACCACTGGAGCCACCTGTAAACAGTTAAAATAAAAAATTTAATTCACACAAAAGTTGGCTGCACTGATATTTTATGTAAACAGCATTCACTTTATCTTATTTCATGTCATTTCGTTCATTTCATTGCCTTAGTTAACTAAGGTAGTCTGTGCCCC